TTCTGATCTTGCACTTTTTATTGGCCAAACAGTCGGTGAATACATGATCACAATATGTGCCATCAATTTTAGTGCCCAACTCGTAGGGATCGCCTGTTTGTTTGATAGCGAAAATATAATAATAATATCGACATTAAGTTAATATAAAGTTTTAAAATATATTAGACGAACAAATCATCAATTTTTAATATTTCAATAACATTACTGTCAGTTCTCCGCAGCCGTTCCCCCACTCACTACACACTCATCTGTTTGACTACTGTTCCCATTATAGCATATACTCTATGGCAATAAAAATAGCTTATGTTTTGTGTATCATATGTTTCAACGATCGGAAAGTTTGCCTTTTTTTTTGCCCAAAAAGCAAATTTCAATTTCCATAAATAAAAACTAAAACTAATCCTTGATTTATGATTCCTAACGCAAACTACACATAAAATACATAAAAATTAAAATAAAAAATTTACAAATGTTTGACATAAAGTTTTGGCGATTAATATATAATGACTTACTCGGGGGTCCAAAGCGGGTGACCGCTGGCCGGGAGGGCAGGAATTTCACATAAAATACATAAAAATTAAAATAAAAAATTTACAAATGTTTGACATAAAGTTTTGGCGATTAATATATAATGACTTACTCGGGGGTCCAAAGCGGGTGACCGCTGGCCGGGAGGGCAGGAATTTGTAGGTCAGGTATAGACTGAATGAATGGACGACAACCGACGCACGGCTCGGAACGAAGACTATAAGACTCACGTTATTTCGGTCACTGAAATACGTGGCGCTCCGCACCTTATAAATAGACAATCATTTTTAGTTAAGACTTTACGTACAAATTGAGAGATAAATATTTAAATACTACTAATTATATAGGAGTCTAACGTATGCATTGCTTACCGACATTTGGCCGCAAAAGCGCCCAAATTGAGGGCCGATTGAGTGGTCGGCAACGGTTGAGCTCATTATCCTTTTAGAGCTGCGGTCGTCGTCTTCATCTCCAGACAGTTTATAATCACTTCTGGAGTAGTGTTGATGCGGTTGTTGTCGACTCTCTCCTCCTCCTCGCAAATTGGTTGGCATTAGAGGCGAATATCCGTCGGTTTGCTGTTCGCCAAACATTATATTGGATGAGCTAATGGTGTGATTGTGCTCTTCGATGATGACATGACCTGAATAACAGCCCGCGCTTTGGTTTCTAATCAAATCAAAATTGAATCAAATAATAGGAAAAAACAAATGATTACTCCATATATGGTATCGATTTTATATAACATTTACAGATAAAAACATACAACAAAAAACATAATTCAATTTTCGTCTCATTTAATCAATAAAACAATTTTTGCTTTATTTTTAAGATGCCTTTTATAGCTCTATATGTTATTTGTTTTATTTTTTATCGCAATAGAAATCAATTAAAGGTTAAGTGAAAAATTAATTTTTCAAATCTTTTGGCTTTTGTCTAAATCGTTGTTTGAAGAGTAAACTCGTTGTGAAAGTGTTGTATGAGATTCTGTTATCACTATTAGATCTCAATTCCTTCACATTAAGAATGAAAACAAAAATTAAGAATTAAAGCAGACATACATTTGATAGCATTTGAGACTCCCTTTCAAACAAACTTTCTTTTATACAATTCTTCTTAAATTTTCTAACATTTCACTCCTATTTTCAATACAAGAATAACATTTCAACACAAAAATATATATTCTTTAAGAAATGGAAATAAATTTAAAATCCATTGAATTGTCAAATATATGTAAAAACATATCATTGAATGTAAATCTTGTGTGAAAAAAGGTTTCCAAAAATAATATTTGTATTTTATATTTGATGCAAATTGAATTGTAGAGTAAATTCAAGTTATTGTAAACTTTATATTTTTCAAATATCGCATTTAGCTGTCATTTGACACAATAATAGGTGTGAAAGCACTCATAACTTTCTATCAATTTATACTCAAACTGTATTCAAATTCACAAAAATACAGTTTAGTGTCAGTTAAGTAACCATCAGACTAACGGTGTGTTCAAATTGACATTATATAAGAATTATAATGCAAATCTTCTATATATGCTATTCAATGAACATATTTATCCATAATTATCATATATCACACGCTATAGTAGATAGTAATTAAATGTTGATATTTACATAACTCTATAATAGTATTATTTGTGTACACATATTATTAAATATCGATCGCATTCGTGTAAACTTCTATATATTGTTTATATCGTTATAAAATCGATAAAAGTTTTATTGTTTTTATCAAACAAATACTGGTTTTTATCGTTTTTCAAGATTTGATTAATATTTTTGAGTGCAAAAAACTTTGAATAAAGATTTAATACTGGAGTTCATTGGAGCTCAAAATGAATTACATTGAATGCATTTATTGTATGTTTGATATAATCACAAACGGATTAATTACATTGCAGTTTAGTGACAATTCCTGTATATTCCTGTACTCAACTGTATATTCACTGTACATGTGATGGCTTTTGTCATTCGTTACGCCAGTTTCTGGACAAACATCGCAAACATAGCGCCAATCAATTAAATATTGACTCAAATTTAGTTATAACTAAACGAGACTATCGTTTCAGTGGAGAAGAGAGTATAGTTTACATTACAGACTAGAATCCAAATTAATCCACAAATTTGTTTCACTCGTCGTCCACACCATAATTGCATCTCAATCTCTGATTAAATTTTTTACTTATTTATTTTTTTGCTAAATATATTATTACATGTATTAATATAATATCAAATGCAATATCATATTAACATAATTAACTATTGAGACACTATTCCCAACGTTTATATTATTAATATTATTAATAATTGAATAACATGTCTTTTGAATCTAAATTATTACAATAAACAATGATTACAATAATTTAATTATTGAACTATTTTTTAATTTTGCAGCAAACTAATAAATTATTTATAATTATAATTTAATTTATTATTAATTAATAAAATTTATTATAAGGTTTAGCAAAACAGTGGATTCTCATGAGAAATGAAGACTATTTGCAATAATAATGTTAAATATTTATCATTCGCTTTAAGATTTTTGTTATATTAATAGACATAATAAATAATTTAGAACTTTAATAATGTTTATACTCTTTGAAAAACTTTACATTTTTGTTTCTTTCGAGAATAATTATTACATAATATAGAACTTTATAATAAAAAATAAGTACAATTATTACCATAATCATCAAATCCATAAAATTTCAAAACTTTTTCTCATTTATAATTAATTTTTATGTAAATTTTTTTGTGCATTAAATGAGAAGAGACTCGCAATTGATGTTGAGTTAGAGTTTAGAAAATAAATTCAATTTAAATGCCAGACGGAAATAAGTGCAAAGTGTAGGAAACAAGTGATGATATCGTTATTACATTACAGATAAAGGCATTAAATTACTATTTCTTCCCAGTCTTTCGTTTGTAAATTAAATTTTATGTAGAATTTGTTTGATTTGAATTTTTAACACAATTTAAAATGCAGTAATAATAATGCATTGCATATAAAAATAAATTGTGAAATTTATTTGTAAAATTAGGGCTTTTTATAACTGTTATTACAAGAAGAATATTCTTACAAATTGATGAAAAAAATTTCATGTGTTTTCTGTGTTCAATCTTATTGTAAATAATGACAGTCATATCAAACACAATATTAGAGTCAATCAAATATTTCTTTCTATATTTTTATAGTGCACTCAAAATGTAGAAATAGATATCAATTTTAGAGATGAAAGTCATATCCGTATCAAATATACGGCACACATAAGAGTTGTGCTGCAAAATAAAGAGCCGTCACTTATATGTTGTGTGAGAGCCAACACTTCGTGAATGAAAAAAATTGATTTTATATCTATCTGTA